GTTTTATCGAGTATTGAGGAGGGATTTAATTTTTGAGAAACTATCTAAAACTGTACATTGTTCATATTGATACACATATTAGTATTGAACCGGAAAAAACCCTAACATGTATAAAAAGATAATTATATTTGTTAGAACAAGGCCTTTTGTTTTGGCATGAGAGACCGCAGTTCAAGTATTATGTTTACTTACGGCTGAAATCAAATGCAGGACCTATAAGGCGAAGGATGAGAGCTTCTTATCATCTGTAACATTGTAAACTTCATAATAATTTTATTTAAATATCATGGGTATAAAGGGCCTTTACTTTTTTACTAGAATTTCATTGTGTAAAATATTTTCTAAAAAGACACAATATTTCAAGAGTAGAAGTAGTAGAACACTCTACTACTTATATCCTCTACAAGTCTTAACATTTTACCCATAACATGTCATTAATTGATTAAGTCAAAAACGTAATTATCATATATATATATATTATGTATTCTAAACGACAAATGACTTAATTGAAGCGTTGTCTTCCCATTGTAAAATAGTGATAGACACATTATAAATAATACCAGACTATTTCAACAAGCATTACATTAAATGTTTTACTCTTAGCTGCCTGTTGTATTCTTCCTAGTCTTTGTTGTATCTCTCCTTTTCCATTTTCGCTACTCGTTAAATATATAGCATTTGGATAAAATGTTGAATAAAACTACAAAAGAAAAATATATATATATCGATCAACAATAGTGGCATATGGTCTTTTCAAATAGATACGAGCAGTTTCAGTAAATTGTTATTCTAGAGTTCGATCTGTTTTTGAAATTGTTTCTGAAACTATAGAGCAACTGATTTAACACGTATTTTGAAAAACAGAGCATGCACAGTTGTTGTTTACTTAGTGCAAAGATACACAATGGGCTATCTGCACTCTGCCCACCGCAGCGAATCGAAAATTGTATTTTAGTTATTAGTCTGTAAACTTACCACGGACTGAGGGTAGGACATAGAATGTGGCAACCAAAGGCTCGGAATAATTGAAAAAAAAAAAACACTAGAGACTTGACGACTTAATATGTAGTAAAACAAATGTAGTGATTGGTTGCCAAACCAATGAATGAAAGAGACAAAACTAAGTGTAAAGACAAACAAAAGCAAACACTTTCTTAATTCAAACACAGAAGTAGATCAAATAAAAAAAGATGATTAAACGTAAGTGAAAATGAAAAACTGCATTTATTGAAACTAGATTAAAATTGTGATTAAATGAAAATGAACACTACGCTTCTTTACAAGTTAGAATAGAATGAATTGAAAGGTACGTATAAAAAGCATTCATTCGATAGAAAATAAACACAACTAAACAAATACTTCAACGGGAGGTCCTAACCCATTGTAAGTAGAAATGATTTGTCTAAAAGCGTTAAATCTATTCTCATACATTCTACATTCTATCTGTAGCTGACCAATTGCATCTTTTCTAGGTAACACTCTTTGAAAACGAGTAATATTGACATGTTGTTATGACATGCTTGCAAAGTGCCGTTATAAACACTCTTAAGTAAGTAACATTATTGTAAGCGCCTTTATTTGTTTTAGTACAAAGTTTCACATGTAATAGGCTATCCACTGAGTGGGGCGAAGAATCTTAACATTATCATAAACACTCTGATTCGGAGTTACTCACTCTTATATTCCTTAATGGTAATACATTTACTTTGTTTATCTAAAACCATTTAAAGACATGTATTGCTTGGCTAAACCAATCAAAAGTGTAGAACGTGACACCAAAGCTGTAGGATTATCGAGTACTTTTTGGTGAATAAAGTTGAACACATATTTCTGACAACAACATGTCATATTCAAAATGGTCAAACCATTAAAATGGCGATTCTACAGAAAGCTCCAGAAGGATCTGAGACCTTGTTTAAATGAATATTATATTTAAATTAACAATTATGAAATATTTCAGTAAAATATTAAGAAATCTTATTTAAAACGATCATTACATTTGTTAATATTAACTTCTGAATAAAGCTAGCTACCTACATAGATCAGAATAAGGATAAATATCTAATAACTAGCATACCTAATTAACAATAATGTTCAAAATGTATTATTTATAATGATTGGAATGCTTTTTTTTCATCAGTTGAGTACCCTCGATGTCAACGATATTCAGCCAAAAATTTGAGAAAATATATGAGGTTGTATTCAAAATGGACACTGTAAATGATTTAAGCACCAGTAGATACTTTCAACATAAAATACAGCCTCTTTGTTCAAATTGATCCATGTATCATCTCTCTCGTGTTTTTTAAATGATAAGTATCACTCTGCATCTGTGCGTTTCTATGTATCATCAAAATCATTCACCAGTAAAATAATTTAAACGAAAGAGTTTGTTTGTAGGTTAAGAATTTCGCGCAAAGCTACACGAGGGCTATCTGCGCTAGCCGTC